AAGTAAAAAAGGTAAGTGAAATTTTTATTATTAGCTCGACTATATAAAGTAAATGTAGAGCTGTCATACTCACCTCGGTTTGTAAGTTGGCACCAGCGTACATACGTTAAATTAATGCCTATGTGCAGTATATATTTTATCTCTACCTTTTTTTGTTTTCAATTAGCTCATCTGAGGACAATGACCGTGCGCCAAAAATTATTTAAACAACTTCTGCTCCTAAACCACTTAGCCATTGCAGGAGTGTACCAGGCATAAAGCTCTACCAAAGGTGTTCAAAGAATAAAATCCCATGCAGAACTTTGGTTGCCAAAGCAACCAAAAACCTCATAAACTCTTCTTTTTAAAAATCCAAAGAGCTAGATCTTAGATATTTGGTATGAAACATCTTTTACTGAGTGTCTATCAAGTTTGTCCAGATCAAAGCCCTGTGGTAAAAATTGGCCCCGTCCCGAAGGGTCATTAATTTTCATTATATATATCTGTATGTACACATGTATTCCTTATCATAATACACATCATGTGATAAGGTGCTAAACTCAAAAACCAGTATTTACAGAACAATTTCCCTTTGAACATATAATTTTCCATAAAATAATGTTATTTTTTACTCTACGTCTTCATTTCATCATAAGGGATTGACTTAAAACTTCAAATATGTGTTCCTTACCGACAACTACATCATATGTGACAATGTTGTTCACTTTGGCACCAATATTTTTCCAGAATTTTTCCCCAGGAACTCATTTTTTCCTAACAAAATGTTACTTTTTACTTACTTCTTTATTTCCAAAAGTATCTACTTCTAACTTAAAATATATGTTCCTTATACATGTGTGACAATATTCATAACTCTAGCATGGATATTTCCAGAATCATTTCCCCTTTGAACTTAGATGTTTATTATGTTCCCGAAGGGTGGCATATAAATCGAACCGTCCGTCTGTCAGTCCGTCCCGCTTCATACATATAGACAGTGGTGGTCGTGTCCGTTCTGAAACTTCAGAATGCATGAAAGGATTTTAATTTCTCTTCATATATGAAATAACCATAGATGTATGGTGTGTCACAAACAAGACTCGGGTTCCTACGACTAAGGTCAAGGTCACTGTGGGGGTTCAAACTTTCAATTGTCAATTTTGATGTTAATATACATATAGGCAGAGATGGTCGTGTATGATCTGAAATTGATATGCATGAAAGGATTATATTTTTTTATTTCACATATGAAATCCTCATAAATGTATGATGTGTTCTCTATGGTTGTTGTTGTGTCCGCTCTGTAACTTCCATTTACATGAAAGTTTCATTTTTTTTTAAATATAAAGTCACCATAGATGGACAATGTGTTGTGAACAAAGCCCAGGTTTCTTTGTCTAACTTAAAGGTCACTGCTGGGGTTCGAACTTTGACAATTTTACCACCACACTTAACATGTAATAGGTGGTTTATAACTAGATTCCTTTAGGGACACTTGTCACGTTCTGTTACAGCTCTTCTTTATATATATTATTTTTATATATTTATATTTTTTGCTCTTCTTTATTTATGAAAGAATTAACTTCTAACTTTAAACAATAACATGACAAACTACATAACTCTCGCATCAATATTTTCAGAATCATCATCCTTTTATACTCAGAATTTAAGAAATAAAAAACTTATAAAATATTTTTGTTTCTAAAATTAATTTTTACACTATCCCAATGCTGTACAGAGTCCCTGTGATTGTGAGTTGTAAGTGATTAAAATCCTTTTTAATGTAATCCAGTCTTTTTAGTCTTAAACTTTTTTAAAATTGAATGTATCTATGAAAATCTTAGTTTTCCTATATCTAAAATGTTCTCTATTATCCTCCAGCTAATAATAAAACTATACATTCTTGAAACATGATAGGATCATAAAACATTCTAGGGTGCTGCTATCAGTGATACTGTGACAAGCCATGTAATTATAATTAAATGCTCATCACTGGCCAGAGATAGGAGATTTTGGGGGAAAACTGGAAATTTTGGGTTTATGCGTAGGACTGGAGAGTGCAAAGGACTAAATGCCATCGCATGTGAACCTGTAACTTATACAGTAACTCATACAGTGTAATATGACAATGTTAACATGATGATAAATCAGGACCATTTATTGAGAAGAAACACGGCTTTTGCAATAATTATGCACTAGGACAGAATTTAATATCAGACGAGGTGGCCGAGTGGTTAAGGCGATGGACTGCTAATCCATTGGGCTCTGCCCGCGTGGGTTCGAATCCCATCCTCGTCGTGTTTACTATTTTGTCATTTTAATTTTACCAATACAGTTTTACTCTTTGAATCATCCGAATCATCCAGCATTGAATGATTAAAAGAGTAGAGTTGATATTTGGACTATACGAAATCTCGTGCTGATAAAAAAATTTCCTTTTATTCAACCTATTCTTTGAAATGAAATATTAACACGTAATTCGTTTCTCCAACATACTAAATGCATATTTTCTATGGCGAACAATACCATAAAAGTACACTAACCGTACCGAGGAACTTTCTGAAACTGTCCATGTTTAATGTAGATAAGGTTATTGCAAGAACGCATACAAGCAGATATCCGCAGTATATAGTATGGTTTCATGGAGAACAAGGATCGAACAAGCCGGCCTCTCGGGCTGTTCCTTATGACCTATATGTAAACTTCCGGACCGATATACATATTACTAAAGTAGTTTACCGTAAGTAAAATGCCATCATGATAAAGAAAATAGTAGATATTTGTATCTGTTTCATTTTGAAAAATGGTAAAGTTGTAGTGATTAAGTATTGCATGGAAGTCACAATGACTACTTTGAGTATTAGTTATGACAAAAAAATCACATTCAGCGCTATTTGAATAATAATGTAATAAACAACTTACATTCTCTATCATCATTATTGAAAGGTTAAACAACTCATATTTGCCCTTTCTAAAGGACAGCTTTATTTGTTTCCGAGGCATTATGTTCTTTAAATGAAGTGTGTTGACATTAAGGTTTAGACTCTGTTGATTTGGATTGTAATTTTACATTTGTAAAATTCTTTGCTTTTTACTTGTATTTATTAACTTTCATTTTTTTTCTGTGCATTTGATTTTAGTTTTACATTTAATTGATGTTTTCTTTCGGCTATTTTAACGTTTGAAAAATTAACGCAACCGTAAATAAACTAGCATGTAATTTGACATATTACAATACGAACGGCTCCATAGCTCAGTGGTTAGAGCGCCTGTCTAGTAAACAGGAGGTCGAGGGTTCGATCCCCTCTGGAGCCTTTTGCCGAGATTTCACTTCTGTTTTCTCCGTTTTTCTCTCTCATATTTAAAAAAATACTTTGGAAAACAACAAAAATATCGTTTTTATTGTTGAATGTAATGCATAAATAGAAAATTAATTATCCTTTTTTCGACATTTGTCGTTTGTATGCAAGGTGTTTGCGTGCTTTAATTATTTTTTTAGTTTTGGGCAGTCGGCAAATACAACCGTATTCCTTTCAGATATATGCTTTATAAGATTTATGTTATATATCTGTAAAATCCCTAGTGCATATTTTCATACATTTATAGTGAATAAGCTCAACATATTGATGATGTTTCCAATATTTATGAATGTATTATTATGTAAGTGTATTAGATCTATTTCAAGTGTTTCATACAAATTACAAATTAGTAAATACTTCCATTTGTTTGTCCTAATTTCGAAATTATTTTGGTTAAGGGAAATAAAATTTCTTTTTATAACGTACTTTTGAGATTTTTATTGGTATTAAGCGATTTACTGTATACCTCCGAAAGAGGTAGCTCTATCATTTACTAGGCGTGTATTTTCCCGAAGAATTTAGAATTACGATAATCAACCGCGCTTTCTAATTTTAGATATTTCTACTACTAAAACGATGAAAGGGTATTATTTTTGTTGATATGTATAAGTTATAAAATCAAATAATCAAATAAATCTGAACTTTTTTTTTCCATTTTATTTTGTTACCGAGTTGTCACCGATTAGCGATTTAAAATAGTTCTACCACGTGACTTTTGATGTAAAACAAAGCGTGTGATATGTGTCTAGTGTCAATATGACATCCACTGGAAAAAGAAAAGATAGAAAAATTGTTTGATTGTATTGACATGTGTTAAAACAACATATATATACTTTACATTTATTACTAATGATAAATTAATACTATACTTAGTATTAAGTATTAAGTATATTATATACTATTTACTCATAAATAAGTAATAATTATTAATTCGCATCTGACCTTATGGGCCTATAATAGCCATAAGTCACCTTAATTTTACTTACTGTAAGTTAATTTTTACACAATATCTTAATGAAATAAACTTAATCAATAACTCCCAGCGTTTAAAATGAAATAGCAAAAAAGTTTCGGTTTAATGTAAGACTGATTTAAAAGATTTGGTTCTTTTCAAAGCCGCATATGTACATGTAATTTTCGTAAAAGGATAAACGTAAACTCATGACTGAAACCAACCGTGACTAATTAATAAAGCACGAGAACTGAAGTGGGCTAATTAAAGAGACCGCTAGATGCCGTTTGCCGGCTCGGAGATTTTGTCTGCGTCAAGCTAGTGTAAAAGCTATATGACGGTATTGTTAAACAAAGAACAAATAACAAAAGAAACGTGAACGTCAAGACGTCCGCTTAATTTTGCAGTGGCTGGTGTGACTTGTACGTGGTTCAAAATAAGTTGCCAATTAGGCAGTGCAATACCTTTGAGACTCATCGGCTAGAAAATAATTAACCTGAGAAACAAGACTGGAAAATGCCCCTCGTGATAATTGGCGTTTATGCCGGTGCGGCATTTTTATCTGCAAGTTTAAATTATAAATTCTCGTATTTACGAAAAATACACAACACAAACTTTAGCTCTAATCTGAAACTTGGTGCTTGCACGTTATTGATGCCAACGCAAATTTAAGGCGTTCTATGGGAGACAAAGATATGCAGACACATATGAATTCTTTATATTTCTTTTATATTATCTGAACATAAATATAACTATACAATGTTCATTATCACTTTATAACTTTACTATCATTATCAACTGTGAGTCCTTTGTACAAAGTGTCGCGAGTACCGTTTTACGCTATACATTCTGAAATGAACAACATTTTGATTTATAATAAAAAAACAACCACTTTTCAGCATCAAATAAGTAAATGTACGACAACAAAAGCTCAAGAAACAAATACACATACAAATTATATGTTATTTACACTTTTGTACTTGCGCGATACAAGTTGGTCTGGCACCGAAATGGGTGGATTTGAAAAAACAATGAATTAAGGACATTGACAAAGGGTAGGTTATGTACTGAATTGTGTGACTAAATGTATTGAACAAATCAATTAAAATTATGTTTAGCGAGTTTCGGTCGAGAATGATAGTATTTTCTCTCTTGGGTAATATTATCATTAGATTTAGTCATATGCAAATGTTATGTCTTTTTTGCCACAGTTGCACAGTTGACAGACATAAAGATGGGATTCTACTGTAAAAATAACTTTAGCCTCGCTTATAATCAACTTACCAGTCCCAAACCATTTGAACTCCACCCTTGGATCTGCGAAGGTGAGGTTGAAGTTGATCAGCAGATCTGCCGATATGAGTTCCCAAGGCAATCCATTTAGGTCCATTACAGAATTCTCAGCTCCTGAAATGATAATTTGTTTTATCTTATGCATATTTAAATAAGATAAGAAAATGACACAAGAATTTGTTAGACATTTTGATTCAAATTTTAGACTAACAATTCTGTTTCTATTTGATTTACTCAACTGTTTTGTTTCGTATATTTGTAATAATCAATTGAATATAATATTAAATATTATAAATTAAGTGAATGATAAGGATCAACTATTTAAAAAATACTTGCCAAAATGAATTAGAACTTTACTCAACATATTGCCAAAACTTACTTTACACAATATATATATATACTTTCTGTGTGCCATGACAGTGTCTGTCAAATCAAAATAGTTTTAATATACAAGTATCAGTGTTAATACGTAGTGTTCATATTGCAAGGAATGTTTTTAAAACCGCAACACTGATGTAAGAAGTATATAAACGTATTCATAAAAGGATTCAATCTTATCAATTTTGCATCGTTTTCACTTTCCCAGCCCAAGATCTATATCATTTCATTTTTATACACCAGCTGGCCTCATTTAATTTTGATACCATCAAATACAAATTGTACTCGCAGCATCAAAGTATAAAATGTCAAGGAATTCTAGTTTGGCATGAGGAAAGCAATATACATTGTTAAATACAATATTGAGTCTTTTGTCTCGTACATATCAACACAACCTATTTTAAATCGGATATTGTCTCGTTCAATGTAAGTTTCAAATCTTTGTACTCTTCAAAAACAATATTGTACTCAACAGATTATCAACAACCTCAAATTAGTTAAAATTTACTAAGATATAGTAAATGTAAACCATTAACCAATTCTTACCAATTAAAGAAATTTTGGATGCGATCTCATCAATTCAGTCTTGTTTTTAGTTTTCAAGTACAAGAACTCATTTCAAATTCGTATTGTACTCCTGTAGCGTCTTTTTAAAAATTTAAATACAAATAAAAATATCCATCGACTGATACTTAACGTGAATAAGCACAGGTCTGTCAAAATGTGAAAATAAAATATTTCAGTGTTTAATAAAGAGCCCAAGAAGGTTTGCAGATAATACTTTTGATAACGTATAAAAGACTAGGTTTGCGCATCACCCAATAAAGGTTTTAAAGGTACATTCTCGTTCAATATTATTCAATATTATACTCTAAATATTGGCAACTTTATATAACCATTTGTTAAAATTGGCAAATTTCTGCTTCTGCTAGCTTAACATATCAAAAAAACCGTTTGCTTCGCTGGCACTTACATGTACATGATTTTAGAAAAATGGCAAAGCACAACGAATTTCTACGTGCATGGAAATCAATTACACTCACCTGAAAATCGCGTCTCGCTAACGATTAGGTCCAAATACCCCAAAATGCAGTTGTTATTCGCATCAAATACATAGCAGACAAAGAACCAGAAATATGTTTCGAGATCCTGGCTATAGAACTTCAGTTCAGTTACGGAATTATTTACTGCATTAAAAAAGGTCATATAGTTGTATCAAGTATAGACACATTTTCGCCTTTGCATTTTCAATTATTTTAATGCATTACAGAAGCATTAAACTTTGCTTATTTGCAATGAGTAACAATATGAAATTTAAAAAATATATTAAAAAAACTAAAACACTTACAAAAAACATGTAAGTATTCAATTGTATTAGTCTAGATAATTCACTGAAGAGAACAAAAGGCAATTGTCACAAAAATATAACATTTTTAAAATTCATGATTTACAAAATAGTCCACGTTTGCCACAAATGTAAGTCTTTTACCCAGCATGATAATCCGTATACGATACACACGTAAAGAAATGAATATTGAGTTTATAAATTTATTTATTATACTTATTCATTTATACGTTTAATTTCTTAATTAATCCATGTTGCAAGAAACACATACATACTTTGATATGGTGCTTAACAATCTATATCGTATCATAAGAATAATACATGTCGCCCAGGGTAAAAGTGCATATTAGCAACCCGGAAAATTGAAATATTAAAATTAATTTATTTTTCGCCGCTATATGTATTATTACTCATCGATTTTTGGCCAGGGGAGAGAAATATTATTATTACGTTATTTTTACTAAAGTCTACATACTATTTAACTGCCCATGGTTAATATTGCAAAACAAATATTAACCGGATGATAATAATAGTTCTAAATAACAAAATATGACGTCAAATAAGGCAATAAACGTAGTATATTTAAAAAAAGTTTTCATGAGATATGATAATAAACATTACCATTTTGATTTTTAAGGAAATATATTTCAACATAATACAATCTTACATCCCCGTTCTGTAGCCCGGCCACAAATATCTTCTGTTATTCTCATTTCAGCATCAAATCTCTGGCATTTGTTTAGATTGATATTGCTGCAACACATTGGATGGATGCAAGTATATTATTATTATAGTCATCAATACTATGTACTTATATGCTATTTTATTCGTACTTCACCGTATACCCAGTTACAAAGAGATTGTAAATTACGCAGTAATTGTGTAATAATTAACACGAATTGTGCACTTCTAAAGCCGACCAGAACGAGCACAACCATAAATGAATAAACCATTTAATTCAAATATATTGTAAATCAATTTGAAGGCAATGAACTAGCGAATATGGTTGCCGAGACATTATTTTTCAAACCTTATCAAAAACATTTCCAGGAAAGCGTTTCTTTTTCTAGATTATTCGTGGGTATAAGGACCCGGCTAGCGTAATGAATACATTTTTTCAGATTAATTAAAAGAGTACGTATTAAAATCTCTTTAACGCCCTTGATTGATTCTATTGAGCGTGTTCATGGTCAGTACTGGAGAGTGCCGACAACGTCCACCCCCTCCCTTGCATGGCCATAAAAAGCAGGATTCAACATTTCATTTAAACATGAAAATGATAATCATTTTGCTTTTTTTTGTAGATACGATAATCATTGGACCTTCAATGTGACACATCCAAATATAGAAACCCGAATATGAACATACACATAACTGATCCGAGATATTTTAATAGTTACATTGTAACTTTACATATACCGAAACTAACGGAAGGGTGTAAGGACAAGACTGGTTTAATTATTGCTAAAATTCCAGGTTCTTTAACATTCAACTAAAATAAAGTGAAACAAAATCAAGGTTTATCAACACTAGGTTCAGTGCATTTAAATTTGCATCGCATTTATTGATAATTTTACTTACAAGCAATTTGTTTTCCGTTGAAATTGGTCCTTATTGTCAGGTAAATTCCATCTCTGCTGACACTTACCATATCTATGTGGAGAGTTGAGCTCATAACCATAAATAACAAACCAGGTATGGGAAGAATTTGAAATCTTGAAAAATAATAAACGGTAACAGAAACAGCCATTTTAGAAATCAATTCCCTATATAACATACTTTAGCAGACTTATAAAGCTTTTTAAGTTAGTTTAATTATGAAACAATGAACAGAATAAAAAAGTAGAAATACATTTGGCTCATTTTAGCTCACATGACCACGAAATGGTCAAGGTGAGGTATAGTGATGGGGCTATGTGCGGCGTCCGTCGTCGTGAGTTGTTCGTCGTCAACAATTGTGTTGTTAACAGTCTAGCAGTCACAGTTTTAAATGGATCATCATCAAACTTTGTCAGAATGTTTGTCTCAATGAAATACAGATCGAGTTTGAAGATGGGTTATATCGGGTTAAAAAGTAGGTCACAGGAGCTAAAAAAAGAGAAAGCTTTTAAACACTCTAGTGGCTGTAGTTTTGATCCAAACATTCTGAAAATTAGTCAGAAAGGTTGTCTTGATGATTTTTAGGTCAAGTTTGAAGATGGGTCATCAACAGTCAAAAACTAGGTGACAGGAGCTAAAAATAGAGAAAGCTTGTTAACAATATAGTGGCTGCAATTTTGATCCAAATATTTTGGAAATGTGTCAGAAAGGTTGTTTTGATGATTTCTGGGCCAAGTTTGAAGATGGGTCATCTCCGATCAAAAACTAGGTCACAGGAGCTAAAAAGAGAAAAATCTTGTTAACACTCTAGTGGCTTCAGTTTTGATCCAAATATTCTTAAAAGTTAGGAAGGTAATTCTGATGAAATCTATGGCAAGTTCGAAAATGGGTTATCTCCGGTCAAAAACTAGGTCACAGGAGCTAATATTAGAAAAATCTTGTTAACACTATCGTGGCTGCAGTTTCGATCCAAATATTCTTGAAATTTATCCAGAAGCTTGGTTTGATGATTTCTAGGTCATGTTTTAAGATGGGTTATCTTCGGTTATAATCTAAGTCCCAGGAGCTAAGAATAGAAAAAGCTTGTTAAAACTCAAGTTGCTGCAGTTCTTATCCAAATATTCTGGAAATTTGTCAAGAAATTTTGTTTTGATGATTTCTAGGTCAATTTCGAAGATGGTTTATGTCCGGTCAAAAACCAGGTCACAGGAGCTAAACATAAAAAAATCTTGTTAACACTCTAGTGGCTGCAGTTTTGATCCCAATTTTTTGGATATTTGTCAGAAAGGTTGTCAAGTTTGTCAGGAAGGAGGTCAAGTTTGAAAATGGGTCATATCCGGTTAAAAACTATGTCACGGGAGCTAAAATTAGAATAGGCTTGTTTATACTCTAATGGCTGAAGTTTTGATCAACATTTCCAGGAAATTAGTCAGAAATGTTGTTTTGATGATTTTTTGGTGAAGTTTGAATATAGATCATCTACGGTCAAAAAGTAGGTCACAAGAGCTTAAAATAGAAAAAGCTTGTTAACACTCTAGTGGCTGCAGTTTTTATCTAAATATTCTGAAAATTTATGAAGAAGGTTGTTTTAATGATTTCTAAGTCAAGTTTGAAGATTGGCCATGTCCGGTCAAAAACTAGGTCACAGGAGCTAAAAATATAAAAATATTTTTAACACTCTAGTGGCTGCAGTTTTGATCCAAATATTCACGAAATTTGTCAGGAAGGTTGTTTTGATGATTTCTTGGTCGAATTTGAGTATGGGTTGTTTCCTGTCAAAAACTTGGTCACCTTGCCCAAATATGGGAAAACCTTTTTAACACACAAAATGTCATATTTTTGACTCAATTGCCATCAAACTTGGTCAGGATGCTTGTCTAAGACATTGCTTGGATGCGGTTGATGGGTTAGGGGAGCGATCCAGGACCATCATGGCTCTCTTGTTTTAGTTAATTAAATGTTTGGATGCATTTAAATCGTTTAGGCAAACACAGGTGCCTGTTTGTAGTACCTGAAGGGTACACCTGTTACCTCACTTGTAAAAAAAAATAGATAAAAAATAATAAATAAATAAATGAAGGCCAATTAAAAAGTGAGTTTCCATTAGTCTTACTCATTATTTTTTCATGCGATCATAAGTCAAACATACTTTTGAAAGCCAATCAGCTTTTGATACCATGTCTGACTTCGTTTTAAACCGACTACAATAAGTAGATTGTTGACATTCATCATTTTGCGCAGCATCCAAGCTCCAAGTGCAAGTTATGTAGAAAACACATAACAGAAGTAGCTTGTTCATTATCTGAAAATGAAAAAGAAAAAAACTTTTCATAAGCATTTTATCAAACTAAAATTTGCATCTCGGGTAATGTTGTCTAGATTAGCTATGCTGTTCTTTTTTTATTAAATTTGTATCTGTTTGGAGGTATGTATACTTGTAATATTTTTTGTTGGGTTTAATGTCGCATTAACACATAAAATATCATATAGCAATTCCGAGCATTGTTTCGGGCATAGCAAGGCAACGGAATAGAACCACTAACGTTCCTTAACCAGCTTGATAGCTTTGTCATTTTTGTTATTTCAAAAACAAAACAAAAGAAAACTCAGTGGTCATTTGAGTTATGTTTAATAATAATAAGTAGAAACAGTTTACTATATTAGATTTAGTGAATATCATAATAAAACAGTGTTCATTAGTCTTGATGGTTTTAAGTCAAGGTAAAAACATGTAAACCTTATGCTTATGCATTTAGAACAGATTGTCTTCATAGAGGTCTATGGTTTATTGTCTATTGTCTTAACATTTGTTACGTTTCACAATTCTCTTGAAACCTGATCGATATGATAGGGCTATTCATCACTTTTCATTTAATGAACTTCTTTACTTCAACATGACTGTGTTCCTTTATCATTTTTATAACCGTATCTCAATCGATAGATAAATGCTTTAAAATGAAGAAGAAAAAAACCCACTTACATCAGATTTGCTGTATTTCATTACTCATTGTGACGCATATCATATTATCAGACAGACGGCTTTATATGCAGCATTCAAGTTACAGTTATACGATATTTAACCTATTTAGTTACAAATTACCACGTGAATGCACATGCGCAGTATAGAAAACCTTATGGGTGAAACATCTAAAAATGGAATGATTAGACTAAAGCAACGTATTATACTAGAGAAGGCGATAGCATTTTATTTCAAAATTTTACCATATATCCGTATATTATTGTCTATATACATGCAAATATGCACTCAAACTAGAACAAAAAAACACACGCAAATGCGTTGGGCAACAAGTTCTAACAACTTTACATTAAGCCCTTCCCAATTGAGAAATTTACACAACAAAGTATGACTTAAACGAATATCGAAATAAAGTTGTTTATGTGTTTACAAAATTGAAAAGTTCAGTGGTACATGTCAATTTCTATTTTGTTATAATTATGTGTTAATGAATATCTAAAAGTTTAATGTTTGTCATATTGGGATGATACCTTCATCATCGTCGATCCATGGTTCGCATTGCTCCCCACAGCCACATCAAAAAGAACAATAGCTCAGGGTTAAATTGCGAAAATTTTGGTTGTAATGACATAGTCAAAGTTAATCTTACCAAAACGATAATTGTTGATGAATTACTGTACAGCAACAAAAGTATTAAGGTTATCTTTACACGGAAGATTTACACGGACAAATAGCAACACATAGTTTAGCATCAAAGTTATCTCCGTTGCAGTGAAAAGGATAATGATCAGCGTTTTCTCTAATCGGATCATCTCTAAGGTGATTTCTCAACAAACCGTAATTTAAATAATTACAGTAGTTTCTTATAACGTGTATGCTTTACTGATAGATATCTTTGGTTATGAAGGAAGTGTTTTGGAACTATGGAAGATTAAATTTCTGTTTTAATTCACATGTTAACGTGATAATTACTTTGCTTTAGACATAGTACAGAATTTCATTTCCAATTTTTGCTTACCTGATTACTATATACAAGATTTCTTGAAATACATTTGAGCCGCGTCACGACAAAACCAACATAATGGGTTTGCGACCAGCATAGATCTAGACCAGCCTGCGCATCCGCGCAGTCTGATCAGGATCCATGCTGTTTGCTGTCAGTTTCTCTACTTGTTATATATTTTGAAAGCGAACAGCATGGATCCTGATCAGACTGTGCGGATGTGCAGGCTGGTCTTGATCCATGCTGGTCGCAAAGCCATTATGTTGGTTTGTTTTGTCGTGACACGGCTCATTTATATATTTGGCAAATAAACGATAAATGTATAACTTTGAATATTGGGTTAAAAAAGAGAGTAAATATATTGTAAACCGATGACAGACTGTGTTACGTGACATATGCTTTTTTCGCTTTTGTAACAACTGATATTCTATTTACAGAGATGATTACATGTATACAGTAAACAGTGATACATTTTGTTGAAGAGCGTTTTAACAAAAATCATGAATCTATAAACAGCATTTCCTTTAGAAAATTAAGGTTTATGTAGTCCGTATAAAGGTTCCTTAACGTAATGTTAAAGTATCATCTTTATCACGTGAATTTCTTCAAATGGATGATTTGTCCGTTTCATACATAGATTTGTTTTTGGAAATTTAAAAAACGCATGGAAACTAAGCAATAAAAGCAACAGCAACAATCGAATTTATAGCTTAAATGCTGTCATGAATTTAAATGTTAACTCAGTATGTATTTGAAGCTACATGAGTATAGTAAGGGTTAGAACATGTCCTTACACAAAACTTAGACTAGACAAACATTTTATAAAATAAGCAAATAAAATGCTGTGTTCTTATCAAACAATATCTTATTTAACAAAACATTACTTGAAACTCCGACTTCTTAAAAAATAATTAAAGAAATGCATTAAATCGATTAAAATTTGGAATATAACATATATGCATGTATATAAGAAAACATTTGTTTTTTCATGTATACCTATATAAACAAATGAACATATACATACCAAAAATAAAATTTCAGAACTACCGTTAATTAAAAATGACTTGTTATATTTTTTTATTATTTTCTTTTTTTTACTTCTTCCCCCGAAGCCTGTAAATCTATGACTTATGCATAGCTTATTATTCATAATTAAATCAATATAAAAATGACCAAATACAAGAGAATCAAAAATACAACACTGACTCTGACCATGAAAACCATCAAACAGAGTTGCATCTATCTTATTTCGATATATATATTGTGTATCATTTAAAACAATGATCATAGCAGGTACATTGAGTTACAGTGCAACAAGAATAGACACAGATATAAAAAGACTTACCATTTCCTTTTAACAAATGTCTATCTATATAAATTTCAAATGTTTAAAGAAACAAGTAATATCTCTATTTATATCACGGCAGTAAGCTAGTGAATCATTTTCTAAATACACACGGCCTCCATAAAAGCAATTCTTCTCACAAGGAACAAAAAGGGTTGCCCCAAAGTAGCTTTTGAAGATATTTTTGTATATTGTTTCAATTCTGCTTCGGTCGTTTATGTAACTTTATACGGATGGAACTTTATATAGCATCAATAACATTATAAAGAACATAATTATGTAATACATCTGATATTACATGTCAAGTTCCATTGCTTAATACACGTTTCATCCGACCGCCAACAAACCGACTCCTAAGACGAAGATATACGAACTTAATGTAATAGGGCATTCCGTTTGTTTTGTTTTTATTGTTAAAGTGTCGTTGACGTTAAATCATCGAGAACCCATCGTGAACTCGTCACCTATAAGATTCGCAATTTGTTGAAAGCATTTGTTTGCCTTTTTGCTTATTAGTTTGATGTTTGTTTGTTGATTTTTTGTCGTTGTGTGTGTGTTTATTTTTGTTTGTTTCTTTTTCTTTTTTATCTATTTTATTTTTTATTGTTGTTAGTGTTCTTTTAATTATTATTATTATTATTATTATTATTATTATTATTATTATTATTATTATTTATTATTATTAGTAGTAGTAGTATTAGTATTAGTATTAGTATTAGTATTAGTATTATAATTATTATTATTATTATCATTATTATTATCATCATCATTTTCATTATCATTATTATTATTATTATTATCATTATTATTATTATAATTATTATTATTATTATTATCATTATTATTATTATTATTATTATTATTTATTATTATTATTATTATTGTTATTATTATTATACATCATTTACATTGTAATTATATCATTCTGTTGTAATACTAATAATTTATATATATCTGTCAAATTATGTGTAAAAAAAAATTGTATAAATGATATCTATAATTAAAAGGTGTGTAATTTAGATCGATCAAATATGTTTTATTTCTGTTTTTTCGTAAATGTCGAGATTTTAATATGTGATGTTGTCTTTTTTATATTTTTAGACCACATTTAAAAAAAGACATGGCTGTTTGTTAAATACGATGCAATATGAGTGACTTTCTTTAATTCAAAACAGTACTACTAATATTGTCTTTCTGCGAGGTAGAAAAGGTTAAGCAGTAAAGTAAATAGATTTGACGTGGGTTTACATGGCGTTTAAATATATGTTTAGAAAAATATTTCCACACAAAAAATAAAATCTGCCTAAAACGTAAGAGCAAATTATGAAATATTTTCGCTTCCAGGTAAAAATAAGCTGTAATACATGCCTATTTAGCTATTAAACTATACGATCCTTTGAAACGACCCTCGTATATAAGAGTTCAACACTAGCAATGTGATTCATACACTGCATGCAAAATCTCATTATAATCTGTCTCGTATAAATGTAAATCTATACCAGGTGATACAAGAAATGTTCATTTAGCGAAAATGAAATACAATATGATCACGTGTTTAAATCAGGATAAGAAAAACAGGAAGATATTAAGCATCAGCAGTTTTCTAAATAAAGCTTTACATACATGACTGCATATCTGTCCATACCCAAAAGAAATGAGAAATTAAAAAAACAACATGTTTTGGTTTGGCTAGTTTATGTTTAATCGCAAAAATGTTTCCATTTCCATGACACACGGCAATACAACATATGCATGACATAATATTTCATCGTCAGTTTGTACTTTTTAAAGATATATTGAAGACATTTATATCAAAACCCTTATATCATTTTCTGAACATTCAGATAAATTACCGTCTGAATGGACAATAAATGTGGATCTTACAATGGTCATTTCACAATTATCAAGTAAAATCTGGGACTCTCATTGGCCATTCTTAAATATGTACAACAATATTAAGAACCTTTCTAGAATCATAATCGACATATCTTATTACAAAACGTAATCTCATTGGCCATTCTGAAATATGTGCAACAATATGAAGGACCTTTCGAGAATCATAATAGAGATATGTTATTACATAACGCAATTATTTAACTCTGGAACAATATTTTATGCAAACAATCAATCGTAAGTTATCTACCCACAACGTTTTCTACCATAAATTCTCTAGATATCTGTAACAAAAATATTTAACAAAACTAATAGTCACTACAAAAAGAGATAGTGTTATTTACCCGGCAATATAAACAAGATAGGTGTTATGAAAATGTTAATTGTCTGCGAAGAAATAGTGTAACATCACAGTTGTGCACTTGCATATCTGAAGAAGTGCCGACTTAAATGTTGCCTTGACGGCTGTCTGTGTAGCTCTGCAAAGTTGTGATAATTGGAGTTCCAGGGGAAGGACGATTCGGAAATTTCTTTATGTCCATTCTAATGTACTAGTACTTGTTTTATAATGTGACAGGACGGTTCACTTTAGCCATGTCATCAGAAAAGCTAACCAACAATTTGACCAATAATCTGACAAACGAGTCTTATTTAATATATGAAATGTTGCATTGGGTTGATCTTCAATTAGTGGTTAATTATGGACACAGGCACTTGGAATTTAAACCATGTTGTTTTAATTAGTATTTATTTTATAAAGGGAAATGATTACTTAAAAAGGCATTGAAAAGTAAGTTTATTTTCTTTCATATTCTATTCAAATTCAAAAAGAAGTAAAACAATTACATAACAAAAAAATATGTTCAATTTTCTAAGCGGACAAACTTCGTTTGAACTGCTGTGTTGCAGAGAGAAAAATTCAAAGCATTTTGCTTAGTTCGTGTTGAAGGTCGACAAGGAAATTCCTTTCTGTCGAATCTAATATACTAGTAATATTTTTGATACTGTGACAAGACGATACGAAATAAAAGGCAAAGGGTTTTGCTAAGTGAATAGTTTAATACTTTGAATTGTATGATAATAATACGCATGATTAATAACTTGTTAAAATTAAGCGAGGTGAGACAAGTGCTTTTCATTTTGGTTGGACTTGACAACGGGTCTGATGCCTTTAATGCCTGATCAAAAACTATAAAAGGTGGCTATTTATAAATCAAGTTTCTGAAGCTAGAACTACGTCCACATAGTACAATGCCTTTAATGTCATTAAAAAAGATACAAACTTTAGGCCCCGCTCATTCTTAGGTATATCATGCGTCGTATTGAAATACATTTAAACAGCCGAAGGTAAACTATCCAAGAATTACAGACAGCAATTCATGTTTCATAACATCACCTTATTATTAAATTAAGAGACGATAGTTTATTTTGTTGGTCACGACACTAGTTATTATTATTTTGATTAGAAATATAAACATATTCATTTAAATTCAAAACGGAGATCCACACGAAATATAGAAATTGTTATTTTCACTTATTACAAATTAAATTAATAAACATGTATATTAGAAAGTTAGTTGATGATTAGAAAGTAAGTTAATGATAGTACATAAAATTATTTATATTGTTCTGTTGGACAAGTTGTTAAGGTGACAAAACTCTATTACAATATATGGCAAGTTGTACATTCACGACATTAGCTTATTCTATTCGATATTTTTTAAATGGGATAATATTTATGGGAAGACGTCATTACAACAAAGCAAATGTTTACGTTGTCATCGTACAGTTAAGACTTAGACGAATTGTTCGACAATCTAGATGGATGTGGACCTCTACAGAAACTTCTGCGCGTTTTAATACTCGCAATACTAATATTACCATCATGGAGTGTACATGGGAGTGCATTTATTAGTTACGATCCTGGAGAGCACGCGATGTTTGAGTAACTCATTTCGCTTCACAAACGCCAGCTTACTTTCTCAACATCGCTTTTGTGCAGATGCGGGGCTTTTTTCTCACGCAGTTCTTGCCAATTTTCACAAATATGAATATTGATTTTTCAGAGGAAAGGGATTCCGTAACAGATACTAAAACTACTCTTATAATTGAAAAAATCATAGAATTATTTCTTTTGTCAAAATGAACACACTAATAGGTCTATTGATTTAAAATTATACCAACGCTTTATTTTCATTTATATTAATAGTTATAATTTCGAGAAGTAACAGATACAGCTAACCCAGAACGACCACTTATAATAAATTGCTCATTTTCTTTGAAAACTAATCATTTGTCTTTACATTTATTTTAGTGGGCCCTAGTGTCTGACAGAAGATGGATTGTTGCAATTATAACGGCTTTATAACTGGTAGGAGTTCTTGTCGAACACGTTTAAGCCGAAATCAAGATACGCAACTGCACATGCTGACCAACAGTCCTGTAAAGTGTCATGACTGTAGGTCAAATACAAGCGTAATAAACTGGCTGCTTAATGTTCTGTTTTATTAACCTTTTAGCGTTCTTTACAAAAACATGCTTTTCTACATAACAATTATACATATTGTTTTTTTTTCTTTCTATTCTGTTTCCGATACTGGCGAAGGAAATATTTTCTATAGCGTCCAGCATTCTCAGTAACACAACGCAATGATGAAATTAAAAACTAGTTGAGTTTACTTATATCATAAAGTTACATGTAATTAATTGATGTCTCCTGTACATAAGCTAATTCAACTTAGTGTTTTAAAAGTAAGACCCAGCCACAAGTAACGGAGTAGTTTGTTAGCCTTTCCCTGATGTATTTATTAAAAAAAAGTTGTGTCGACTCTTGCAAATCTGAAAAATGTTTCTGAGTAGATAAATGCATAAAGAAAGAAATAAAACATAAATAAATAAATAAGTAAATTAATTAATATATTAATTAATTAATTAATTAATTAATTTACTTACGTATTGTACATTTATAGGAAATACGATCCGGTCATTATAAAATGCTATATTGTAGGGGGGTGGGCTTTTGATTTATATAAACAATTTACAGAGTTGACTCAGTGTTCTCCCCAGTGCTGATTTTTCTGGTTTGTGCAATGTAACTATAGTTCAAGCGTTTCAAAAAGACCTAGATACATTGGAAGTGTGATAGTAAACATACATTAAACACAATGTATAACAAAAATAGTGCTTTGATATTAAAGACGAACAAATACATTTTATTTAACAAAAGAAACATAACAAAGACATTTGGTTATTTAATGG